CTCTCTCTCTCTCTCTCTCTCTCTCTCTCTCTCTCTCTCTCTCTCACCATTAGGTCCAACGAAGTTCATTACTGTAGAGCTGAGGAAAGGGAGCATTAAAGACAAATTGGGTTTAAGTCTAATGCAGAGAACTAATGGCAGAGGAGTTTTCATTACATATGTCGTGAGTATTAGTATTGATATGTCATTACAAATAAAGTCTTTCGGATACACGCCATACAACTCTCCCTCTATCTTATGTATTATTATTATTAACTTATTTATCGTTAGATGAAAAATAAATTGTTTAACATTTTGAGAGAATCCTCTCCAGTAATAGAGGAATTAAATCTCATTTTGATTTTTTTTGTTTAACTAGTTGTTTGTCTCATACACTATGTATAAGCAATTTGGTTGCATATAATGAATATTCTGTATATTCCACAAGAATCCAGAATATTCTGGTATTTTCTTTTTGAATGTTAATACGAATTGAAGTTTAATTTCGTTTAGTATTGTTTAGTCTTTAATTATATGTCACTCTCTTTAGCGGAGCGTATGATTTGTTTGAGATTTAATAGAGAAAAAAGGTTTTAAATGAGATTTTATGCATAAAAAACAAGTGCAAAAATCAGACAGATTTCTAATTAATGTGTTTTATTTGATTAAACGTATAAATAGTTTATGAAATTTTTTATTAAAGGTTTTTAATGATCGGAAAGTTTTGAGAGAAAATTTATTTAATCTAATTTTTATCTCATTTTATTTGTTTTTCTACTCGTTTTATAATTCATTAAGTGTTGTGTAAATTTTAAACACTAGCTTTGCGTCGACTTTGATTTGTTTCCTGAGTTTTATAAATAAATGATTTAATTATATAATTATTTGTCGACTATTTTTAATGACAATATTGTAAAACACTTGAAAACTATTTATAGACCAATTCCTATAGGAATTGCACTCAATTTCCTTAATTAGATTATTGTTTTAAATAATGGAAAAATTTTGCTATAAATTAATTGATACTAATTTTTTATAATACAAAATGTTATTCAATAGCAACCAAACAGTATCGCCGGTCAGCACAGGTCTATAACACAGGGCGACCAGATTCTGGAAATCAACGGCCAGAATGTAAGCCGCATTTAAGTACATTATATGACAGCACTTTATTATACAATAGCGTACACTATTTGGTACACTAATCGATAACTTATGTGACAAAACTATTTTATATAACAATAACTACGATTCCTATAGTGAACTAAATTAATAATATAACCTATAATTCAGTCAATAAAATAAAGTGCTGTTTATTTTTACGGCTCCGATAACTATATTAACGAATAGAAATGCACTTTGAATTGAATGTACGGTTAGGTTAGGGAAAGCAATCAGAAGGACGTCTCGCAGATACTGTGCTCAATGGACGGCGCGATTGTGCTATTGTTGGGTAGAGTGCCCTCACTGTCCGACTCGATCCGCGAGTGGGCCCGACGTAAGGCGCAGATATTCTTGAGGGCCCGCACCGGCACCTGGAGCTCATCGGTGGGCAACTGTAACGAGAAACTGCAGACACAGCGGCCGTCGCTGCCCGTCGGCAAAGACAAGAGCTATTTCCAGGCCAACAGTCTGTCGCCCGACAGTGAGTTCGGTATGGGTTTGGGCGCGGGTATTGGCGCCAGTATGCCAGCCCTCGCCGGCTGTCAGACCATCGCCAACAGTATGACAGACATCACGTCCTGCGAGAACCAGTTGTGGAGCCGGAGCTCGTCGTTGAGGTCGCAGAAGAGGCTGAGTGTTGTCGCCGAGGATTCAAAGCAAAGAGAATCGCTCGACAGTAACGCCGAAGAGCAAGAGCTGATGATAGCTCCGGAGCCCCTTGTGGTGGATGTGATGGTCATGACTGACACGTCCGCCGCTGATGGTAGACAGTATCCGTCAAATACGAGTTCACCCGATAATCCGCTGTTGCCTGCGATTAAAGTGACAGAGTTTTAATCGTTACATGTTTTAGATTAAGTATTTTTGTTATCAACCGATTAGTGATATATTTTTGATTATTTTTAATTGTTTGTAAAAATTTGTTAATAATTTTATATACAGTACTATTAGTTTTTTTTTCGGTGTAAATATAGATTATGAATAATATATTCCTAAGTAGTAATCAATTAAATTAATTTATTCTAACCAATTATATATTTATTTCCCGTATTATAAGCATTATTCATGAAATTGTTTTATTTTGAAACCAGAAGTATATTAAAGTTTTTAATTAACAAAAAACGACCCGTAAATCAAATATAGCCGCAAAATAATAGCCATTGTATTGAAATCAATGCTACAAAAATCGGTCCCATTTTTTAAAACTAACACTCAATAAAAGTGTTGGAAACTAATGAAAGAAAGTGTGTATTTATAGCAAAACAAATATTTGCTAAAAGCGACTAATATTATGCAATAGTTTGCAGGTCTAGAAAAAAATCAGTATAAAGTAAAGTATACCCAGAATTACAGCATTAAAAACAACTCAACACAGAATCGTTGTTATACTGTGTTATGTAATTGAATAAAATCTGGAAATCATCCGAGAGTTAGTGCGAGTGTGAGTTAGTGAGTGAGTGAGTGAGTGAGAGAGAGAGAGTGAGAGAGAGAGAGAGAGAGAGAGAGAGAATAGCATATCATGAATTAGTTATGTAATAAATTATTCAATCCAACAGAATATAAAAATACTGAGAGATTCGCAGAATATATTCTTTAAAAGAGAGAGAGTGAGAGAGAGAGAGAGAGAGAGAGAGAGAATAGCATATCATGAATTAGTTATGTAATAAATTATTCAATCTAACAGAATATAAAAATACTGAGAGATTCACAGAATATATTCTTTAAATATATATAATCTCTTTTGTATGAAAGAAAATTATATATCAAAGAATAATTTGCGATTACATTACGATTCTTATACAATACACTGTATAGAAATGCATTTGTGTTGCAATACAACACATACTAAAGTTATACTACTATTGTTTAATACTATTTTGCAAAACACATGACATTCAGTTTTTTTCTGTAGTTTTCAACGCTTTTATACCATATTATGAATGCATTTATAATATTATAATATAATATACAATGTATTTATTCCCTTATATACATTATAAATAGATTTACTTTTATCACGATTGACTTTTGTAGTCAATAATATTGCGGTAAAACAAGTGTATATTTTCTTATATTGTATAACAGTATATGAAATACATTTATAATTAACTTATTATTATTGTTATATAGAGTAAGACAATAGGTTTCATAAGCATCGAAATTAAGTTTCAATTGTATATAATTGTAGTATAATTACATAGTATTTATGTTTTAATTAATTAGCATTTAATTGAAAATTGTGTTAAAGTTAATATAATTTATAGTGAAATTTGTAATTATGATTTTATATGAAAATAAAATAAAAATTATTACCAGATGCATTTTGATTGTTAAATTTATTACGATTGACATGTTCTTTAAATAAAATATTAAATCATATTTGATTTGTAATTACGAAATATTATTATTAATTAATTAAGTTTTAAGTGCTTTTTAAGTTTATTGATAAAATGATTTTTGCAATTAATGTAAAATTATCACAAGTAACAACTAATCAATTCAAAGTACATTTTTATTATATTAAAAATAATTACAGTATATTTTAAATGAAAACAAGTATTAAAATATTTGCAAAAATAATATTATCATAATTTATAACTTATGATAAGTTATAATTAATTACACTTTCACTAATCGACTAGACATACATCACAAACGACTTATTCAAATAATTTGTGGGAAAATTTAAATAATTTATTTATAAGTCATTTAAAATATAGATATTAATTATCAATAAATATGAAACGAGAAAAATATATTCATTAATTTATACAATTTTGAGGCCATAAGTGATTAAAACTGGAAATCACTTTCATATTTGCCGATACTTTTATTTTAATGAAAGCCATAGACCTGTCACTCAAACAGCGAGAAGTTTAACGATAATTGTCTCTCAAAATAAGATAAAGAGGTGACCAGAGATCAGATCATTAAAGGGGAGGCCGTCTCTCAGTTGATATAAGTTATATACAGTAAACTAAAGGCAGTTTATATATGAAGTAATTTATTATTGCGTAAACACTGGGATAGAGAGGACTGTATTTCACAGATAGGAAAATAACAAGACTTCACAATGAATTGCATTATTCTTTAGGCGCAAGAAGTTTTTGGTGAACACATTTATTTCATGACAACTCAGATGTGACCGGAAATGCCAGTCTCTCTCTCTCTCTCTCTCTCTATTTAAAGAATATATTCTGCGAATCTCTCAGTATTTTTATATTCTGTTGGATTGAATAATTTATTACATAACTAATTCATGATATGCTATTCTCTCTCTCTCTCTCTCTCTCTCTCTCTCTCTCTCTCGAGTGTCTAATTAATTAACTTGTATTTTGCAAAATATATTTACTCATAATATTTTGTAATATTAAGTAAAACTGATATAAATAGATGTTTTCAAGGCTTAAATAACTCGATATTTGTAATCACTATTTGTGCCCTTAATTTTATTGTACAAACAAAATAATATATTTTACTCATAACTGGCCCTTGAATTGGATTTATATCCATAAATAGCCGAGAATTTGTATCAAATTTATGTCATTATTAATACACTTTATTACTACATCATCATTATTATGACTCATTAATACAATTTATGTATATATATGTATAAAATTAAATCAATAAAATCTGTTTATCCAAATGCAACTTGGGTGTTAAATTATTAAAGATATTTACACCAAGTAATGCATTGTAGCAATTTGATTTGCGATAAACAATACGATCATTTTAAGCTAGTTCACTAGAAGTGGGTAATGTAAACATGTTTATGTCTGTCAGTCTGAGTAAACAAACGTGATTGAATCATATGTAATAATATTATGCATTAACTGCAATAACAATTTGCAATTATTACCATCATGCAATATGTGTAACAGGAAATGTAAAAATGTTTACTAATGGTAAGTTTTCTATGAAATTGTCATCGATTATATTGTGTAAGAGTTTTATTCGCTATAATGTCAAAGGAGTATATATTTTAAAGAAATACAATTAAATAAATAAAAGAAATAATGTTTTATTAGATTTAATATAACATTTATATCATGTGTAAGGAATGAGTTGTGAATTTAAATGTAAAGACAAAATGTGAATCCAATGCTAATCAATGGGTGTATAAGAGTTGTGTGAATATGTCTTTAACTGAGAGCTACTGTTCTTGAATTATATAATCACAAATTATACTCAAATAATTTTCCTCTCTCTCTCTCTCTCTCTCATACCGGGGCTCTTCCCTCAAAAATGGCGAGTTTAGTATAATTGTGTTGAACAGCACTGAA